CTGTATGTCTGGGGCTAGATTTCAAAACCCACATAATGAAAAAGTCAGTTTTACAAACCTAATTTTGTTGTTGTTGTATTTTAAGTCAATTAATGTTAAAAATTGCATCAACTATTTAATTCATGAGGATTTTCATATTAAAATTTAACCTTATAATTCAACCGCCATGTGCTTTTAAAGGTAACATTTTTAGAGACGTCTGAGCTCACTTTTACATGGTGGCACCTACTGCCGTTAACATTTGTGATTTTAAATCTTAAACAGCCCTGAATTTTGAAATGTAGCCTAGTTTGGGATTCTGCAACTACAACTTTACGGGATGCCTCAAATCAAAACTAAGAGAAAGTTAACAAGCCTTTACTTCAGAACCTTTAAGCAAGCAATGTCACTTTTGAAACTAACAGGTTTGTGGTTTTTTTTTTACTCAACTTTTTTTATTATAAAAGGTACACTTCTGTTTATATTTAAACAACAAAGGAAAAAAGCATCTACACACTTAAAAAATTAATTCGATATTTCTAAATCTATTTTAACTCATTTTAAAATACTACATACAGAAGCCAGAATGCAGAGTTAAGAATGGAGGAAGGTGGGAAGAAGGGGACCACGAAGAAAAACACTTAGACAATTACTTGTCTGTTGTGGGTAAAGCAACAGGAATCCTGGGAGATACAAGAAATCAGTAACAACTTTGCTCATAATTGATATTTTCCCCTCCTGTTTGTTTTTAATAACGTCCATAAGGATGTTCTCTGTATGCTCCCTTTACTGGCCTAGCTGGAGGGGCCTTCAGTGATGGCCTGGTTCCATTCCAGTCATCTTGGCCTGTGGGAAAAGCAAAGACAGTTTATAAACTATGCATCAACATTTTGGGGTGAGCAAGTCACCTGTGATTTATCACCCAACACTGATATTTTTTGTTTTGGTTTTAAACCTAGGGTGTCACACATGTCAGGCCAATGGTCTACCACTGAGCTACCATGTATTTCCTGCCCTTTATTTCCTCCTCCTAGTAATGGGGAACTGAAACCAGGGCCCTCACACTGAACCACATCCCTATTCCTTTCCATTTTTTATTATACTGAGATAGGGTTTCATTATGCAGTTCAGGCTACCCTTGAACTGACAGTGATCCTCTTTTTTAAAAAAATCTCTTATTTACTTATTTGGTACATAGAGGATGTCGCCACACAGCTTGGATGCATTGTGATCCTCCTTTCTCAGTCTCCGCAGTGCTGCAATTACAGGCATGTACCATCATGTCTAGTTTCAGTGGCCACCAGCATGTGGTACTAGGGATCAAACCAGGTTCTTGTGCTTGCTAGGCAGGCACTTAGACCTGTGAGCTATCGCCCCAGCCCTTCACAGTTGTCCTCTTGCTCAACCTCCCAAGTGCTAGGATTACAGGCATACACTATCATACCCATCCTGAGTTTGTTTGTTTGTTTGTTTATTTATTTATTTATTTTGGCAGAACCGGGAATTGAACTCAGACCCTTGGGCTTGTCAGGGATTATTCTACTAAGCCATCTCCCTGGCCCCAAAAGTGAATTTTAAATTTTTTTTTTTTTTGGCAGAACCGGGGATAGAAATCAGGCCCTTGCGCTTGCCAGGAAGGCGCTTATTCTACTGAGCCATCTCCCCGGCCCATCCTCTTGAGTTTTTGAGTCAGGGTCCCACTAAATTGCTACCTGCCTATTGTGAGCTCAAACTTGAGATCTTCCTGCTTCAGACTCCAGAGTGCCGGCATTACCAATGTACTCAACTGTATTTTGATATATATTCTCATTAAATTGCCCAGGCTGACCTCAAACTTTGGATCCTTCTGCCTTAGCCTCCTGAGCTGCTGGGATTACAAGTGTACACCATCAGGGGTAAGACTCCTTTCTACCAGTATCTCAATAACTCTCTAGTATCCCTTGATCACCACTCTGCTTGGTGTCTTGATAAGTATTTGGCTATTGTGAGTGGAAAGACAGAAAAGGAACAACTCTAAAAAAAGATAACATTTACTCTTCAGTAATCTCCAGCAGCAAGCTGGGTCTCTATTGGCAGTATGACTGATACATCAGTCCTCAAACCTGTATAAACCCCACACCTTGCTTAAGACAGTGAGGCAGACATTAATCTGCAACAGCCTTTTCTATTCCCAAAGCAATGTGGCAGGTGGCCTCAGACAAAGTGACCAAAATTCTGGAAGGCTTTCAGACTGGAAGTATACGATAGCAAGTCAAGTCTCCCTATGAGAAAGTGTTCTCTGGCTCTCAGAGAGAAGCAGGCAAGGGCTATATTAACTGAAGCCCTCCACCAGTAGATCTGGTACTCACTGCTTTTGTATCTAAGTACAAACAAATGCCACATTTACAAACACTGTTTACAAAAATTCCTTAGTTCTATTCTCTGTCAAGAGTTGAGAAATGCCACACAACACAGTTGACATCTTCCTTTGTGACAGAGAAAAGCCTGAAGGAGATGATCACCTACTTCTACAGATGACCTCTGTGAAAATAAATTGTAGGAGCCGGGGAGATGGCTCAGTAGAATAAATGCTTCCTTAGCAAGCGCAAGGGCCTAAGTTCAATCCCCAGTTCCGCAAAAAAGAAAAGAAAGAAAGAAAATAAATTGTAGGGGCCGGGGCGATAGCTCAGTAGAGTAAGTGCTTGCCTGGCAAGCACAAGGTCCTGAGTTCAATCCCCGGTACTGAAAAAAAAAAAAAAAAAAAAGAAATTGCATTTCAACAGTCTTCCCACTCATCCCCACACCTTTGTTGTGCCAGTACATCCTGAAGTATTTATTTCTGTAGCTGCTGGTATCATAAATACCTGCTTCTATCACCACAGGTCTTAAACTCCTATATGGATCTGAAGTCATCTAGAGGCTCCAGTCAACAACTTCTGTGGATAACCCACTACTATTGTAGACTGCTGGGCTGTGTTGGACTGTTTTGCTGAATTCACACACCTGTACTATTTATTTTTTTGTAAGTTTTTTTTTTTAAATTTTTGTTGTTGCAGAACTGGGGATTGAACTCAGGCCCTTGCACTTGCCAAGGAAGTGCTTATTCTACTGAGCAGTCTCCCCGGGCCCACCTATAGTATTTAGATGCCAATGGAATACCCATTTCTGCTAGGACTCAACAAAAAAAGGGGATATAAAGGAAGGACCATTTTGTATCTGTATATGCAGGATAGTTAGGATAGATATACAGCTACTTTCGCTTAATTCAATGAGAAGAAAGAGGTGTACTAATAGTGTTTGGACCGGATATTCTGTCTGCATCTTGTACTATGGATAACCACTAAGAAGGTAACAATGGAAATGTATTAATTATTGAAGCTGTCCTATTAATCAGTTTTGAAACTGTCTCATTGATATTTCTCAATAAAATAAAAAAATGAAATTAAAAAAAAAATGAAGTCATCTAGAATCTCATTTATATACCTAATATAACTATCTGTGCCATCGCATTCCAAATTTCATTATTTATTTATTTATTTGTTACAGGGTCTTGCTACACAGCTCAGACTTTTTTTAATGTGGAACCGGGGAGTGAACTCAGGCCCTTGTGCTTGCCAGCGAAGTGCTTATTCTACTGAGCCATCTCCCCAGCCCCTCAGACTTGTAGTGATCCTCTTGTCTCAGCCTCCTCAGCACTGGGGTTATAGGTGTGTCAGCCCAGTTTCGGGGGCCAGCTCGGTCCCAGGTCCAGCAAGGAATGTAGCACCAGGAATCAAACCTCTATCCTGCTTGCCAGGCAGGCACTTACACCACTGGCCTATCTCCCCAGCCCTCCAAGAGATTCTGAGGTACCCAGAAACTATTTTGGTAATCCTGATTACAAAGGCAGATATGACAACAAATTTACCATGGCTATATCACACCGAAAGCAAAAGGAACAGCCTGCCTTTTATAGTTTGGTCTTCTCTCCAACAAAACAGAAATATTGTATAATCATACTCATACAGAGGCCCCACTGAACTGCCTCACAGAGGGAGGAAATATCCAGTTATAGTCATACCATCCTTCTAAATACTGGTGTATAAGCAAACCAACAGTGTTACTGATGGCAACTGTTTAATAGTATTTACCTAAAACTGGCTTAACCCCTACCTATCACCCACCCACACTTTGCACAAGTAGCTGATTGGTTATTTCATACCATGCTGCATTCATCTATGAGAGGCCTTAAGTGGTTCTTCTTTTAAGCTAGGGGTAAGGAGAGTTATCAATTAGTGCCTTCAGATAAACACTCAGCTGTTAAAACCCTTGTCAAGGATTCTCCGGAAGTCCCTTAGGTATAAGAAAAAGGCCTCACAAAAGCTGTTCTCTATCCATTGCCATGGCACTCCCATTGGGCCCCATTAATATGGAGTCGTAATTGGCTCTTGAGGACACATTTCTGCAATGTGTTTTCAACCAAATCTCAGTGAGAACAGCTTAATCTTGTTGCTGTTCCAGCCTCTTTTTCTTTCTTAAAAAGGAGGCTGGCCAGATAGCTCAGTGGATTAAAGCACCTGCTTAGGCAGATGCAGGGAATAGGGTTTCATCCTGGCATGCCATGCGAGCTCCGCCCCCAGGGCGATGGAGACTGGGCATGGTGGCGCATGCCTGTAATCCTAGTGCTCGG